TATCTCATATTAAGCCAGCATATTAAGCTATAGCTCGTTTTCACACATCCCTGTTTCAAATCTCCATATTTTGTCTCCCTATCTATCTTCATTTATTTATTTGTATTTGTTTGTTATTTATTTGTTAAAAACTCAAATTCTCACATTACTATTTAATGATCACATTATTTCAAGAATGTAATAAATATGTTTGTAAGAATTTTAACGCTAACTAGGTACACGTATTTGCAATATTTATCAGGATCCAGCAAGCGCTGTTTCGGCGAATCAGATAGAAAGCAGAGCTTTTAATATTGCAAAACTGGTCGCATGCCGATGACGTCATCACGTCGCCCCTTTTTTAAGGGGTCACAGTTCCCGTGACTAATGTTTCTTAATTAATTAAATTATTTTAATAGTTGTAAACCCACGTGTTGGCTGAATAAAACACGTATTACTGCCCAAGGCTAGCACATATACTGTATCAACTAAAGACTCTTTATAGTGCCGGAAATAGTATCACCATCATCGACATTGTGGATACAGCTAAAAGCCACATTAGCTTCATCATTACTTGAATAAAAAGCGTAAACATTGGTCTTACCTTGTGAATACCGTTCCAAATCTCTCTAGTCTACTACCTGCCATGTGGAGCTTTTCGTTGACAGATCTAGCTATATAATTCCCCTTTTCTAGAAAAAATCTGCATTAAAGTTGACCATTGTTTGCAACACTGTCGAAACAACCCGTTCGGATGCTGTCATGCGATTATAGTACGGGTGCCTTGAATGGTCAAATTGTGCGCATTGATACTGAAAAGTTGGTTCTTCCGATACCAGACATTTATGTTCCAGAATCGACTTTCGTATTACATTATCGATATTATAGTAATTTAGGGTAAATTTGTAGCTTATAATTTACAAGAACACAGTGGAAAGTAACTATATTATTGGATTGTCTGAATAGGAACTACTTCTTCTGCCTATCACAGTGAGTTGGGAAATACGACTGTATAAATGCATTACGGCTCACGTGTGCGCGCTAGTTCAGTTTTCTATCATAAGCAGAGTTTCGTAATAGCCCGGGCTCAAATAGCCCGAGCTATTTGAGCTCCACAAAAAGCAAAGATGCGGTTTGTGACACATGTGGCAAGGCCACAAACCTTGTCAAACACAAACAAAAGTAAATTGTAACAGAATATAATGAGGCGAACTGGAGGAGGAGGAGAGACTTTGTGTCTAGGCATTGTGTTCTTAAAACTGCAGAATCCCATTTGTTCAAATTGCAGAGTATTTACAGTGTATTATATAGACTGGGTATATATAACATATACAGTAAAACGGTCATTGTATGCTTTAAAAAACTCAAAATATTTCATACATAAGATAAATAGACAATGACATGTATCTATAATGTTTTTTCTCAGCTTTACTATTTTCAATCAGTCACATTTGTTTTGGAATGGAAAGGGAATATTTAAAATGTAGGTAGGCTATAGATTTCAGGGTTTTTTGTTTTTTTTTTTTTTTTAGTTCTTGTGTGAATTCTTCATAATTAAGCAAGAAGAACAATAGTCTGATGTCTTGTAGTCATTATACAGTTGTATTTCCGAATACGGTTTGAAATACACTACTTTTCATTTTTATTTACCAAACACATCAAGTTTTTACGCAAATGGTAAATGACCTGAATTTGTATAGCGCACTTAGTCCCTATGGACCCCAAAGCGCTTTACACTACATACAGCCATCCACCAATTCACACACTGGTGTTGTAGCCACAGCTGCCCTGGGGCGCACTGACAGAGGCGAGGTTGCCGGAGACTGGCGCCACCGGGTCCTCTGACCAATGCCAACAACTCTCTATCGAAAACGTTGTACTTATGCAAAGTATTGGTATCGATACCAGCCTGAATTTTACTTGGTATTGGATCCCAACAATGCTGGATCCTTTTCCAGCCTGATCTCTCCAACTGTGGAGGTATTGTACAGACGACACAGGAGCTGTAACTTTCCATTCCGACTTTATTCATCTCCAAACTACAACTGGACACATTGTGCCAAAAACCAGCAGAACCCCCCCGACCTGGGTGTGAGTGGAGCCCTCTGGTGGGCCACCACACAACCATTCATTATGGAGGTGGATGCCTTGGATCCTGGGGCCAGGGCTGTGGTTTCTCAGCAGTCTGAAGGTAAAATAAATCTGTGTGCTCCAGAAGGAAACTATGATTTTGGTAAACAGGAATTGCTCTCTATTTAGCTGACAATGGAAGAATTGAGGCATTGGTTGGAGGGGACAGGGTATCCACTGGTTGTTTGGACAGACACAAAATTCTCTCTTAACTGTTGCCAGAGAAGAAAGAAACCGTCCTCTTCCATTATTATGTACATGGTGGTAAGGTGTCTTGTGGGAACTGACGGATTGAACCAAATGAGTGTGCTGTGTGCACAACAGTGTGACAAATATTACCTGCCCTTTTATTAACTGCAATAGTGGTGATCATTAGCCGCTAACTAACTGGGTAAGGGTGTCATGGGCCACTGCACTGTTTTAGGGAACATATTTAGTTTTACAGTAAGATACAGGGCTGTTCCCTGCCTTTCTGGGGGGCTTATATTTCACTATTAACAATAACAACAACAAACAAACTATCCAGAATGAATTTTGACATAATTATGGATTATTATAATAATGATATTTAAAAACAACACAGTTTTAAAGAAAATACATTAAGACGCCAATTAAATATATTAGATTTATATTTCAAATATGACAAAAATGCTGATTTTACAGCAGCAAAATTATTGTATCTCTACAGTTTAAATGTGTAATAAGCTCACCCATCTGCCTAGCACAGAGTGGATAGTGAAACTAATTGAATCATTATAAATACAGTATTTTATATTTATTACTTTTTATTAAATTTCTCATTACTTAATTATTATAGCACTAGGAATAAATAATAAGGGAAGGATGTGGATCAGCGCTATGATGCAAACCTGTGGCCATAGTACATATAGTCTTCTGGAGAAGGTAATAATGTCATTGTGTGTGCATGTGTGTGTTTTATGCGTATAGATTTTTTAAAAATTATTACTCATTGACCAGATATGCCCCGTAAGGACAGGGGGAGGAAACAGCTACAAAAGGAGCTATGTGAGGTTGCTAAAGGTATTGGAGCACCTCACCAGCTGGATTAAAAGAGCACAGGTAACATTAACACATGTACCAGTTGTTGAATTGCAGAGGTATTCAAGAATGAAATCAATAATAAACACAACTGCAATGTTATGGTTCTATAACATGTTTCTATCATTACTTTATTAAGGATTAGGTGCAAGAGTTGTTAAGTGTGGACAATTAAATAATAGATTAATGCAACAGCAAATTGTGCCTTGTTCTCAGATGGACCACAAGTGGAGAGTGACAGATCAGATGAGGAGATGGAAGGAGGAAGAGAGTGAGTCACAGGCAGAGGCAAGTTTATTTTCCACAGTTTTTTTCATCAGTTTCATCACCATATGGTTCCAAGTGCTGTCACTAATCTTTGCATTATATTTTTTATCTTATAACACTTGTTTAATCAGCTACCATCTCTCCTATGGACTTTTTAATGTCTACAGTCTCAGATCAACACAGTCCCGCCCTCCAGCACTATCAGCATGAGCACCACCAGCAACCCTTTAACAGCAACATTGTATGCCATCAGCTAAAACATAGGCTAGGTTTGCTTTGCATTGTCTCCACGTGATCACAAAGATATAGTATGATGCGATTCCATATTAGACTCTTCATGCATGTCGGTTGTTGTTATTCAGCCTGGTTCTATGTGCCCCTTTTTAACTTTGAGCACCCGCCCCTTCAAACATCTCTGCACGACCTTCGCCACTCCTGTATGGTCCTTCCAAGGTCAGAGGAAAGTGATTCACTGGGCTCATGCTGCCAGATTCACTCCATGACCAACAAACTCAAAAGTACTCTGTTCCCTCTGTCCAGCACCACATTTGTTGTTGCTGCTGTCTATGAAGGTGCACCTGTGCCAGAACAGTATAAGGAACAGAATAAATGCATTGCTGACTGCCATGCTATGAACCAGACCAGAGAGTGGTTGTCCAATAAATATCCCTCTATGAACAGAATCTAAAAAGCTTGCACCTAGTCTTTTTCTCTTTTTCTCTTTTCATGCCTCCCAGCTCAAAGTGGTCTGGACCAGTCAACTGCCCTTTCCTCCAGTCATAAGAAATATAGATTTCCTTCCCTTATTTAAGTCATAGCTCAAAACATACTTGTTTAACCTGGCTTACTCACTTTAATACAGATCTTGTTGTCAAATCTTGTTTATTTGTTTTTTGTATCTTAATTTATTTTACTGTTTTATTGATATGTTTTTCTCTCTTTGTAAGGTAACCTTGGTTTTTAGAAGAGCACCCTCCAAATAAAATGTATTTTTTATTATTATTATTATTATTATTATTATTATTATTATTATTATTATTATTATTATTATTATTGTGTGTAAAGTGATTCTGACCGGTGAATCTGTGAAAGAAAATTTACCTTTATTTTCTTTGTTAAGAGATAAGATGAGATGAGATAGCCTTTATTTGTTAGTTGCAGTTTTTTTGCCCACAACCGAGATGACAGACCTTGCCGACCGTACATACAATACACAAACATCACATTGGGGAGACAGGTCAGGCCAGGTAGCGAGGAAAAAAACATCAAAATGTGTAACACAAAAAGGATAATACAGGAATGCACAGATATCAACACACCATAGCACAGTAAACACAGACAAGCAACATGGGAAAGTGTTCCAGTGTGTACATCTGATCTGGGACCGCTGCAATCTTCGATTGCGCCTCCAGCTGATCCGGTGTCCACATCGGATGGTAGGTAAGCATTGGAGGAGGTGTTGGATCCGGGATAGGGAGGGTGATGCATCAGTGAGTGCTTATCAGTATCAGTATATGTATGTGTGTGCGTGTCCATAGTTCAGCTGAGACAGTGTCCTTCGCCCTGCCAGGCTAAGTAAACAGTCTTCCAGCCAACCCAGGTGGCCTTGCATGGAACGGGAAGGAACAGACTAAACACAGTCGTTAACAGGGTGTTTTTGTTCAGCTCCAGCCTTGAGCCCACGGCTGGCGCCGAAGGGGTAACTGCATTATGATGGTGATTTTTCTTTTCTTTTGCAACAACTCATGAGAATTTCAAAGCTGTTCTTTAACACTCCGTCACTGGACTCTCAATCTCCCGTTGGAGAGCTGCGAGCTTCTCCATGATGTTATCAAATTTCCGCTCGGTGGTCTTGTCATTCTTGTGCTCAAAGAGCAGATTCTGGGACCTCACGACCGCAGTGAACTGCTCCAAGATGTAATCCAACTTCCGCTCAGAGGTGTTATTCTGAGTATTCACTGCAGCTGTTAGCTCCTCCAAGCTCTTAACCATGCTGCATTCAGTGAGCGCATTCTGAGAAGTCGCGCCTCGTCCCATCATTTCAATCCCAGCGGGCAGCCTTGGGGGGGTTTGAACAGCCGGTTCCGCTTTCTTAATTCTCCGATAAGCCAGGGCCAAGCCAGCTCCGATCAGCAAGAACCCTGTTATCATGGTTCTGAATAGGTAGATATCTTCAGCGTCCTCGATCGACAGTCCCGCCAGGCACACGATCCTCTGTTTCTGCCACCCGTCCATCGTGTATCCGGCAGGGAAAGTCCCTCCAGGGCACTCGGGCTCTCCCGAGCCCAGACTTCTTGTTGAGAAAAGGGTGTCAATAGCATTCAGAGACCAGTTGAATCCATAATTCTCTTTTAGGTTTTAGAAACAGACTGTGAGAGAGTGTTCCAGGGAAAAAGTAATACAAAAAACACGAGACTAGACAAGGACATAAGAGCTAAGCAGGGAAGATAAGGGAAAGGAGAAAAAGTGCATCCGCTTCCTCCGAGAGCCAAAAAGAGGAGGAAACCCGTGGAACGGTTTTGGGGAACCCTTGGTGCACCCATGTTGCTGCTTATAGTGCTGACCCTTGTATGTGAAACACTTGGTTGGTGCTGACAGTGGTCCTGTTGCTGAGGTTGGGGTCATCCTGTAAACTCTTAAACGACCTCCACTGCTTCGGTGACTGGAACACAAGTAAGAGAGATGTCACTGATTTTGTCACTGAGCAGTGACAAAATTCTCAAGATAGTCTCCCTTTAGAAAACCACCAGGATTTGTCTCAGCATCACAGTAAAGTTCATCCCTTTACAAGGATGTTTTTCTCTGCTTGGGTGAGTCAGTCAGACAAATTTCCCCCCCACTTGTCCATGTCCCTGGTGTGACATCCTGTCTCTGGCCACTGAGGACACACTCTGTATTTTGTTGGTGTTTCCAACGCACAACAAGTAGGTCAAACGTCTTTTGTTGCCTGGTATTAGACTTTTCATGTTGTGGTACATGAACCTTGTCAGTGAATTCAGAACTCTTTTCAGAGTATTCTCATCTGAAAGAGTTGTAAGTCTCTGTCTTGATCTGCCCCTCTTTTGATTTTAGCACACAATGGTATAATTTGTTTGTCTGACCCATTCATTGAGCAGCTGGCTGTGTGTTCTGGAGGATTTTTGTTGCTTGGAGTTCCCCTAACTCAAGAGCTCATTTGCAGACAAATTAGATTTAAATAAATATTTTAGACTAGATTTAGGGGTTTTATTCACTTTACGGATTCATGTTTATATATCTTGGGTTTTTTTTAAAATGAGAGAAGACAAATTTGCTCAAATTATAAGTTTAATTTTTATGTTATTTATTTCAACTTCGTCATCATCATCATCATCAGTTTCTTTCTCTCATTACTTTTTAAAAAATTTTTTTTAAAAATTTGTCTGTTTTAGTTTATGCTTAGTTATTACTGTGGTCATTGTTAATCCGTTAATTAATTTCTTATTTTCTCAATCCTTAAATTATATTTCTTAATTTTTTAATTAATTAATCTTATTTTTCCATTCTACCCATGTCTACCAGGGGCTGGGGAGTGGCCTGCAGTATCACCCTCCTTCTACTGGATGGTGGCGCTTTAGCTCAGTCCTACTACTAGTTAGCACTGTTGCATTTTTTTTATGTGTAATACCCTCTTTTGAACACACAGTGTCACACTCTGTTGAATAGACCGGCCTCAATTTTTCCCACAGTTTCAAATCCTGTGATTACTTATTGCTTTAACCGGACCTCAATTTTCCCTGCAAACATCTTTATACGATATCTTTTGTGCCGATTATGTGTAGTCGTTGCTTTTCTAATGATTTAGCTTACACGGCTTTAAATGCCATACAAAGTTTATAAGGTCCTCGTGCTTCTGAGAGGAAAATCTCAACACATATGTTGTCGCTTTTCTCCTTAAGGCAGGGGACTTTAAACTTTCTATATTTAAATTGAAAATATTATATCATATATAAATTATGGTTAGAATTTCAAATTGTTTTACATGATGTGATGGACCTCCAGCTGTCTGGCTCAGAGACAAAAGCTGGCGCACCCAGGCAGTAAACACTTTTATTGCATGTGGTAAAAACAGAATGTTAACATGATTGATCAAAAAGTTGAAGGGAAGCCCTTAGACCCCATGTCCAACTCGAGTTTCATCTCCTACACCTTTTGGATATCTCCCTATAAGGAGATGACACTTCTCACATCACCATGGCAACCAGCTCCTATCCTCCGCTCAGGGCTGTAGAGAAAAGTGCCCATTCCATAACACCTGATTTATGGCCCTGCTTTTTCTCTAGTAGTCAGCATTAAAGTTTGTACCTTCTGGTGCCATCTCTAGTGCAGGCAAACTAGACAGGTCAAAGGCATTAATCATCCATATATAGGGATGGGAATCGAGAACCTGTTCTCTACAGGAAATGTTTTCTAGTAGTCTAAATTTCTTGTAATCGCAAGTCTGCTTGCCTATTGATTCAGCCTATCAGTTCATACTCTTACATTACATTTAGTTGATTTCAGTTGTCGGATGAGCAAAATACTAGTGCAGTCTACAGCATGGATATGGACATAACATATTTTAATTGCACAAAAGGACAAGTGTAACAATGGTTGCATTCAGTTGTTTAAAGGAGGTGGCAGAAACACTCAGGACAGTCAAAAAGTCATGACCACACCATCAGTTCATCAGTAGGATGAACAAATTAAAGGTTTTCAGGCCACACTAACAGTAATGTTCAGTGATAAGCACAACTGAATTATTCATGATTTTCATAAATTCAAGATCTTCTATAGACATTTGAGGTTAATTCTCTTGCTTTCTCATTGAAGTCACGATTGTATTGCTTTACCAACGGCTCCTCTATGTGAGCAATGGAGATTTGGTTAACTTGAATGGTGGGAATGCTGCTCCCCAACTTATAGACTTCTCTATAAGGTAGCGAGAACTAAAATCCACACATACACGCACCCACCATTGTCCAACATCAGTAGCAACACACTTATCATTTCAGTAGCAAGACATCCTTGCAGAAAACAATAAAAAGTGGGAAATCTTGCTGCATGCTTTAAATGTTAAAAAGTACTACCACCTGGTGGAAAAATATAGGAAAAAAATTCAAAGTAAATAGTACAAGAGCAAAATATTCCTTGATGTTAAGATAAATGTGGGAGCAAATGTTGGTTATTGGCCAGCTTAGCTACTTCAAACTAATCCAAGGAAGTGAGATGGTGCATTGGTTAGCAATGTTGCCTGAGTTCAATGCCACCATCTGTGTGGAGTTTGCATGTTCTCCCTATGCTTGTGTGTGTTCTCTCCAGGTACTCCAGCTTACTCCCACAGTCCAAAGACATGTGATTGTGATTCTAAATTGCCATAGTTGTGAATGGTTATGTTTCTATGTGTTAGCCCTACGTCAGATTGGTGACCTATCCAGGGAGAAGCTCACCCCTTGCCCTATAGGATAGGCTCCAGCAACCTGCAAACCTGATAAGAGAATGGATGGATAGGTGATAATTATTCATTCATCCATCCATTCTATTCAGTCAATTCCACATTCTTTATTTAGTTATATGATAATTATTAACATAATCGTTCTGTTTTCCTTTAAGAGTGAATAAAGCAGGAATCATGTAGGTTAGTGAATTCCACAGTAAACCATCTTCTGTTTGTAGAAACTGTGCAGGATCTTTATTTTACAGTAGAGGTTATTCCAGTAAACAAATTCTTTGCACTTCCTTTTTTGGTTGGTACTGTTCAAAGGCAGAGAAAGCAACTTTATTGCTCTGTTGAAAAAAGGAAAAGATGAACTTTAAACTCTCCTTGTCAGCTGACTAGAGATAAAACTATTATGTGGGACAACGGATCAACAGGGTCAGAAACTCTTGAAGAACAAAGGCCAAGAACAAAAACATGCCTTGATTTCATGAAGGGATCTGAGAAATGTAGAAGGCACAGACATTTATAAGCATTTCCAAGTGGCTTTTCTGGTTCTGCAACAGAGAAAGTTTTAGAGCAGAAAGGCATTATAAGCTGGTAAGACTAGGTTGAGTTCAGGAATGTTGGCACATAACAGGGTGGTGCAAGGAGGCAGAAAGAGGGAGGGACACAAACAGAGGAGGGACAAAGAACAGGAGAGAGTCATAAATGTAATAATTACACTGTAGTCATAAATAAGCGTCAAGCACTCTTTCCACAGGTTACCCATGTAGTTAACAACATTATTGCTGTACGGATAGGAGCAAGAGAGGGCTGAGGATTCCCTTTTCTGATCTTAAAATTGTTTTCAACTGTATTCTTTTTTTCTTTTCATTTTTCACGTGAATTTCTGATTCCAAGTGATGGATTTATTCCTGGATTCTGGCTAACTATGGCAAATTTCTTTCCACTCATTTCCTCAACACCAAACAACATTTTCCAGTCTTAGTTTTTCATGAAAATTGAGCAATAGATTTCACTATGTCTGTAGCTACCCTGTTCAGGGGTAAGTGGGGACAGAAACCAAAAGACGTCACAGAAAAGCAACCAGTTGTGGTTCAACCAAGCCAAGAGGAACATGATGATGATGACTCCAGCACTGGATTTAGTAGAGAACCTATTCGCAGAAACTCCCGCTTTTACCGGTCAATGAGGAAGAAGAGACTGATCTCATCTGAGCAATCTGAAAGTAAGACGAGAAGACTAGTACAGAATTTGGCTGTGACCACAATTTAACAATGAATTTGCAGTTAATTTGAAGATAATTTTAGCTTTTATCTTTTTTTTTTACTTAGATGCTAGATGTATAGTTAACTTTAAATTAATCATTTATATATAACTGTGCTTAAGCTAGGTTATGAATTCATTTCTCACACGTTGTTATCAAAGGCATCGTGTTAGGGACTGCTGTAGTTAATGGTGCAGTTGTTATTGAAAGTAGAACAAAGGCAGTTTCTATCCTTCAGTAGAAATCTACATGAATACAACCTGAGAAACTGGTTCTGTTTGAACCGCGTACAGCGGTGAATAATGTATTTCCCACGGGTAAATGGACTGGCGTTCAACCTATGACCTCATCAAAGCAAGAACAACCTTGAGTTTAAATGTTAAAATGAACCTACCTGGATAACGATATATTGTTAAGTATATATACTTAATGTCTTGCTATATATATATATATATATATAACCCCAATATATAACCCCAATTTTGAACAAACAAACAAACAAGCATGCTGTTTAAATGCTGTGTAAATAAGACTGGGATTTGTCTCTGCCTGATTTCCTCAATGACTTTCATGTCTGCTTCAATGAGCCCCTCTAGGACTACACTCATTTCAACACCAGGTGAACTACGACTCAGCTTGACCTCAGCACAAGTGGCCCACATGAAGTTGCAGGCCCTGACAGTATACTAGAATGGACACAGAGATTGTGCCAGTCAGCTGTCAGATAATGGGATCTCATCAGTGTTTCATACAGCCTGCAAACCTTGAGAATAAGGACTTGTATATATGTCTCCTATTCTTGGACCACTTATGCCCTCAGTACAATAATTCAACAAACTCAGCAGCAAAAACTTGCAAAACCTGACCTGAGCTTCTCCCTCTTCAGTTGGTTCCTGGACTTCTTAATCACTAGATTCCCCTAGGTTGTGTATGAGACCTCTCATACACTGCTCGGTAGAATATCAAAGCTCTCACATTGTGACGTTTTTAGATGACACAGGAGTGGTGAGATGGAGAACCAACAGTGATGCGTCTGACTACAGGCAGGAATTACAAAACAACCAGCAGGCTGGTGCTCTAGAAAACCAAGGAGATGATTGTGGATTTCAGGAAGTGTAGAATCCCCCCCATCACACTTCTATACATCGAGGGAGTAGTTGTTGAAGAGGACTCCAGCTGTAAGGATCTCAGTGTACATCTTTAAGAGGATGTTTTCTGGAGTCGCAAGACATCCTTCCTTGTTCAGAAGACGTACCACCGTCACTACTTTCTTAGAAAGTTCAGGTTCACTGTATTTTGGGGCTAAGTATTGACCACAACAGGAAAAGACTCAGCTGTGTTTTAGAAGAAAGGTCACACTGTCAAAAGAAAAGAAGCCAAGTAAGTCCACTGTGACCAACCATTATTGAACACAAGGGATGGATTATGACACCAGCTATTAGTCAGCTATACTCCTACTTCTACTACACCTTGCTCCAAGTCACCATCAGTAATTCACATGATTGTGTGTTGGAGTAATGTCATACAGAGGTTTTACACCTTGGTCCCTTACAGTCAAAATTATTTTTTCCCCACATCTCAGCTCATGTGACAGCCAAGATGGTTACTAGTGGCTTGTGACTACAATGACCAGAATGAATGAAAACCTACGCGGGGATCTTTTTAAAATCCTAATATCTATCTATATAGAGATATCTATCTATCTATCTATCTATCTATCTATCTATCTATCTATCTAT